AAATTAATACATTTTTCTTGATCCAGATATATATATGACTTTTTACAAACTTCTTGACAATTATTTAACAGGTTTACAGTTTAGAAAAAAAAAAATGTTTGCCCAGTTTACCTTTGGTTGGGCAGCAGCAGCATTAGCAAGAAATCTGCTCTGTGACTTCCAGGTAAGACTCTGCAATCTGTTCATTGAAAAAGGTAGCCAAAATTTATTTTAGAAGCAAATATTTTTCATTCCATAAATCGTTACAAACAGATTAGAAGACACTAAACAAGAGAAGAGGCAACAATGAGACGGGCGGGGGGGGGGAATACTTACTGACAGAGGTACTGGAGCAAAAAACACAGACAGAAAAAGAAAGAGGGAAGGAATGTAGATTAAAGTACAATCACTCAGGTCAGTTAATCTTGATGGAGAAAATTTTGAAACAAATAAGACCAGGAAAATTATATAAAACTGCCTACTATCAAAAACTCAATTTCAAAACATGACTGCCGAGTGCGCCCACCAAAAAACATGCACTGGACCAAACAGAAATTCAACACATGCATATTTACAAAAGAGTTTACTTCTGAGTAAAATAAAGCACATCAATACAATAACGGTCATTTAGTACTTGAAGGAAAGAGCAAAACAGGAATGAAGGAGAAAGAATTAAGTAGGATCTCAACCGCTGCGCCCTTTACCAATAATGGGATAGGAATTATCTTTACATGTTAAACCACATTTGATAATAATCTTTATCTTCATTCCTAAACCTTGGACCTACTCCACAATGATATAATATAAATTATTATAATCTAAGGACATATCTCTAGACCTTGCAGGAAAACCCACAAACACACACATACACAACACATTATTCAGGATGCACACACACTAACACATGATACACACTTTCTCTGTAATTACACACTATTCCTATCCCATTTTGAAATGGCAGTTGGTCCTTCTCAATGTTTCCTCTTTAGTCCCTGCTTTTCTGTTTTGTTCTTACAAAAGGAACATTATTGTGTTATTGTGTGTTATATGAGTTTTCTTTTACTTGGAACTTAACTCAAAAACTGTTGATGTGTGTGTGTGCATGTGTGATGAGAGAGATGTGTAAGTGTGCATGCATGCAGGGCTGAATAAAATGTTGTGTGTGCGTGTGTGTCAGTGTGCGTGAACATGATTTTTAAACAAGCCTATCGCAACAAAATAACATCTCAGCACTTTTTTAAGGATGAGCAAAGTAGTTTAACAGATCTCCCCAAATCTTTAGTTTCAAGCCATCCTGTCTGTTTTTAAAGGTGTTCAGGAGTGTTGAAAAAGTACGTATCTGCATTCAGGTAACAAAATCATACTGATTTTTAGGCCTTTTTTTTCCAGAAAAATTATTTTGATTTTTTAGCTAGAAAGGTGCAACCATCCTAATGCTTATATGGGAGCTTCCTTATATTTCTAAAGATCAATTGCTCCAATGTGGTAGCAGTAGAATGCATTACAACTTTAAAACTAGAACAGGCATTATAACAACGTACTAGTGTGGCCCATACTGGTGGACTGACCCATATAGTAAAAAGCCTCTAGCTAGATCCTCTATCTTAGATTGCTTCAAAAGAGAAATAAAAACAAAACTAGACTAAAGACTAGATCTTGTCCTTGAAACCTAGATTTGGCAAGATAATAAAGACAGAGTCTAGCCTATCTATTATATTTTACTATATAATAGTCTGATAAAATGTGACTGACACATAAACTTTGAGCCCAAAGCCAAGGGCAGATCTAGAATCTAGGTCAACTTGATCAACAATGTAATCAAATAGGGCCGAAATGATAAGAACAGTAAAATGCACAATGTCACGTGCTGATGTTCTCCCTCGACATTTTTCTAGGAAAATTTACAGGTGCCCTATTTTGGCCTATTTTATACTAAATTCTCAAAATTGAGCTCGATTTAGTATTCGAATAGTTCTAAACTGAGCTGTTGAACTGTGTGACGGTTGAGTGTTAAAAAGCTCACAACTTGTCTAATTTTGTGAGTAGTCACACGAAATTTGTCATGTGAGTTCATTCATTGGGTGGCTATGCCTAATGGGTGAAAAAAACTGGTTTCATCACTTGTCAATTCAGCGATACACCATGCCACGACTAACGATTCAATAGCGAAACCAGGCTATGGGACGTTTGCAGGCCGGAGAAAGCCAAACTGACGTTGCCACACATCAGCCAACTTTTTGCAAGGTTTCAACAGTCCAACCCCACTGCCGATCAACCAAGAAGTGGACGGCCAAGGGCAACAACTCGAGCCCATGATAGCTTTATTCAGCTTCATCACCTGCGGGATCATTTTGTGCCTGCTTCTTTAACAGTCCAAGCGCTTCGGAAAGTCATCAGAATTTCCGACCATACAGTACGCAACCGACTCCGAGAAAGAGGGCTCTGGCATATCGACCTGTTTTAAGGACACTGTTGACGGACCGGCATCGCCAACGGCTACGACAATGGGCCACTCAGCACGTCAACAGAACTAGCGGCACGCATGGCTCAGTGATGAATCAAATTTTCTCATCTCTCCACACGACAGACGACGTCGAGTTTACCGACATCCAATGAGAAGTTCACTGCTAGATGCATCTCCCAGGCCTTATTGCATGGCGGTGGCTGTGTGATGGTCTGGGGAGCAATCAGCCACACTGGGAGGAACAACCTGGTGAGAGTACAAAAGGCAATCTGACAGCCCAGGCCTACATCAACAACGTTCTCCTACCACATGCCCTTCAATTGCTTCAACAACCAGGGCCAATCTTCAAGCAGGACAATGCCAGACCGCATACTGCCAGAGTAACTAGAGACTTTCTGGCTAGGAACAATGTCCAGCCACTCCCATGGCCTTCAAATTCACAGGATATGAACGCTATAGAGAACAGATTTGGGATGCTTTGGACAGACGTCTCCGGATCAAAGTTGTTGACCCTGCCACTCCTGATGAACTGTTTGCCGACTTGGATGAAGAGTGGAGGGCAATACCACTTCCCAACATTCGTCGTCGCATCGCCTCGATGCTTAAAAGATGTCAAGCGGTACTCCAGTCAGCTGCTCAGCAGGAGGCCACACCCAGTACTGAATGGCCACCCTTGGACGGACGGAATGGAACATCCAATTGATTTACTGAAATCAATTCAACTTTGTTGATAATCAATAAACAGCAATGAATAAAAAATTTTAATATATTTTCTTTCCTTCACTTAGATCTAGATCTAGATCTATTTATATTCAAAAGTTATTCAGTGCTAGCATCTATATTGGTGGCCAATTTTGGTAAATTTATGTGTTTCTTTTTTTTAACAGTATATAGATCTAGATTTAGATCTAGATCTAGTACAAAAGGAGATTCATAGAGGTAGAAATCTCTTCAAATATTCAAATAGATCTAGATCTAATCTAGATCCTAGGTGTGATCTAGGCTGATATCAGTAAAGTTTATAATCTAATCTATTCCTGAAAAAGGAAAAGAGGTGAATCACAATAATGGGGGTGGGGGTGGGAACTGTTACCGTTGGATGGAACTATCGAAAAAGCAACTTACACAGATTATTCATTATATTTCACCTGTGATTCTTAGCTCTGGACATGTCAAGAGAGGGGACCCTACCCTCACAGCACCAACCCCCACCCCTTCTCCACACCCAAACCCTATCCTCTATTCTACTCTGTTTCATGATAGTGGTCGCTCGTTACGGAATTCCTCCCTCTACAAAAGTAGATTAATACTCAGACTCAGTTTTCATTTCACCATTTGGGAACAGCCAAGATAAGTCTGAGCTTACGGGCTTAAAAACAAACCCCCAAAAAATCAGTATAGACCCACAGGCAAGGTAGCCTAAGGGTCAAAGTCCATGGAAATTTTGTAACCACACACACAACACATTCTTCTCTGCCTTTCGTAACACTAACAGGCTCTTCACCATTCATAAATAAGTCAACTTCGACTTTTTGTAAAGCTAATGATCACTGAAATACATACTCGGTGCTCCTCATTAGCCGCACCCCAGTCGAAACTTTCTGTATCTTAGTTATCCCTCGAAACATCTTCGGTTTGCAAACAAGGAGGAAAGTGGACAAAGGTTGAGAATCGAGAAGGGTTGCTCTGTCAACGCGACAAGCTGTCCTGCTGAGGACTGAGGAACGAACACAAGCAAGCAGAGAAGTCCCAATGAACTTATGAACCATGAACTCAGATCCTGCCTGGCAGTACACTTCCTACAATTGCCAGTTTTTTTCCACGACGACAGGGGAAGGTCAATGAACGACTGCGCAGTGAACGCAATAGGCTTAGATCTACTAGGCCTAGGCCTACTTACGTACGACTTAATAAAAAAAAAACTTGTGTACTGATTATGAAAATGTGTATTATGTTTGGCTCCAAATGTCTGACTGATCTCTAATGTTTAGCTATATTCATCATCACTCAGAGCGTGAGAGTCCAGGGGAAAAAAATGAAATTTTAAAGTAAGCCTACAAAAATAATTTAATAACTTATTTATAATGTAGCCTAACGTGCGCGTGTCCGTGTGCACGTGTGTGTGTGTGTGTGTGTGTGTGTGTGTGTGTGTGTGTGT